TGGTAGCCTCTCAGCGGGTCTGTTCTCAGCCTCTCTTCCAGCACTGCGCCCCGTCAGCCCTCTCCCCGGAGTGTCTTCGCCGCGTGTTCCCAGCCCCCTTCTGAGCTACTCCTGAGGACGCCTCTCTGGCCCTGGGGAGCGCCGCACGCCCGCTCTCCCTCCACTGGGCCTGTCTGACCTTCACCTCTTTGCCATCACTTCTTCCCACCCAAACTGTGTCCCCTTTCTCGCCTCGGGGGCTCAAACCTGCCCACAGCCTCCTTCCTGCCGGCTACTGCGCCCCCAGCAGCTCCCTAACCCCCTTCCCCAGAGGAATGTTCGAAATCTTCCCCACCCCACCCCCAACGCCTTTCTCCACCCAACCTGGCTACCGCTGGGAACACCCACGACGGACTTGGGATTCTCCTGTCCCCTCCCTTTGGTTTGCAGGGGCTTCAGACCCTTCCCGACTCCTTTCGCCTCCCCTCACCCTCTGTAAGAGTCTGGCCTTTGTGCCCTAGGGCTGCAGTGCCTGGGCTCCTTGGACACCTAGGCCCCGTGGGCCAGTACTAAGGTGGCGGAAGGGCCCTCTCCCGGCAGGTGCTCTAGTTTCCTGATGAGGACGGAGAGGCTGGGAGCCGGTTGCAAAGCTGAGCCTGGTGAAAAGCGGTTACCTTTGTCCTTTCCTCCTCCTCCCATCAGGATCGCTCAGTGCCTCCAGAGCCTTGAAGGGAAAAAAAGGGCCTGCCACCCTTCGCAGATGCTTTTTATACGCGGGATAGAAGTGTGGGGAAGTAACTAGCTAGACAGCTTGTTGGTCTGAGGTAATGGGAGGAGGATGCAAATGGTCACTTTGAGTGTTTCTCTCCAGGTTTGCTGTTCAGTTTACAGAGGAAGGCACCTTAAGGTTATTGTTTTTATGATTTATGTGTATGCTGTGTGTTTCTCAGTATACAGCTAACCATCTGATTTTTATTAGCAACTAATATGTATCTATTTCATGCCTCCAAATTAGCCTTGGTTTTGCAAAGGAAATGGTTTCTCTTGCATGTGTGTGTGTGTAGGAGAAATTGATGTTTTCTTTCGGTTTTGTTCTCTGATGTTGGGCATATGGAAACAATACTGTGAACTTGTCTGGTGGTGGTATGTTGGAAACTGGTGACTACATATTTCTATGACTTTTGTTGGGGGAATTCAACTGGTTTGCATAACAAGCTGCAAGTTGTCCAGAGTAAGGGAATGTCTGCAGTGTTTATTGCTCTCTGAGCATATTTCTGAGAGTTTATAATGTAGGTTGACATGCTGTTTTATGTTAGGTCTTTTTCCACTTGTTAACCAAGGTCTTTGTCTATTAGGATTTAGTTCAACCACTGTTTCTAAAGGCTCTGCTACCCCCATCTTACTTCTTTGTTTGGTTTGGTAAATCCTACAGGGTCCCAGCATGCAAAAGTTTTTTTCTTTTTAAAGAATTATTTTATTTTAACTTTATTTAATTAAATTTGACCAGAGAAGGACAGAGCGAGAGTGAGAGAGAGAAAATGAGAAAGCAAGTCACTGGGTCCAGTACTCAAATGGCAGTCAAGCCGCCAGGTCCAGGACTAGAACTGGGGACGGCCACATGGGAGTCCAGCACCCTTAACCCTCCCACCTGCTGGTCCCAAAAGCTTTTTTTTTTTTCCATTTGAAAATGGGCCCCTGGAGCCTGGTCCAGAGGGACTGTCAAGCATTCTGTATTGGGGCTCTGATTTTTCTTTGATAAAGTGCTAGTTTCTAAAAATAAGGACTCCAGGGTCAGCCTGTGGCCTGGTGGTTAAGGTGGCTGGATCCCACTTTGCTGACCCTGATGTTTGAGTTCTGATCTGGCATGTGTGTACGTGGGTGCATGAGTGCCCCAAAAAATCCTGAAATGAGAGAGATGGAAGGGAGAGGATTGTGTCATGACACAATGGGAGATACTTTCTCACTTTCTCTGTCACATCAGTGAGCACATGCGCCCTCTGGCAAATTAAAAAAAAAAAAAAAAAAAGGACCCTCCGGGATCACTTTATAAATGTATTCAAAATGACTCTTTGGAGGATTGCATCACAGTGTGGGTATTTACAAAATGAACAGTACAATTACATATTAGTTGACAAAAATGGCAGAGATTTTCATGTTATTGGCCAAATAAATGTTCATATTTTGAATTTTTTTTTTAACCTAGAATGTGAGTACTGGATAGGATTGTGTAGTCCAGTCCCTCATTTTGCAAATTGGAACAGAAACGGGAGAGCCAGGATGTGACTTGCCTAAGGTCATGAATGGAAAGTTGCGAAGGGTCAGCAATCTGTTTAATCCTAAGGTCCACCAGTTGGAACAAACCATGCTTGTGAACACCTGAAAGACTTGAGTCCTACTTAAGAGTAGAGAAGCAGCAGGAAAGGGACTGGGGAAATATCAATAGCAAGAGGGAGAGGAGAGGTGGAGGTGAAGGTTAGAGGGATCACCATAGTGGCCAGTAGGCACCATTGCCAAATTAGTGCAGCTTTTAGCTAGCCAGACTTTAGCACGAAAGCTTAAATGATAGATTTGACTAATTTGAACAATAAAAGTAAAAACAATTTTCTTAAAATAGGTTTATTGAGGTATAAGTTATAGATCATATACAATTCCTTCATTTAGGTGGCTTTTAATATACTCACAAAGTTGTGTCTCTACCCACAGTCAGTTTTAGAACATTTTCATTACCCGTCTCCTTTTAATACATAAAGGGGTGCAAGCATTGGAAGGGTGATAGGTTGAGGACAGTTACTTCCTAAAGTACCTCACCTGGACATGGGATAGGTGGCAACCTGGGAATGCTCTAACCTTGAGATTTTTTTCATGTATCTGGTTTGCTTCATGTGGGTTAACTCATTATGAAATGTAGGCACTATGTCTTTCTATTTGAACTTTGTATTATACCTAGCATGGGTGCTTTACGGGTGTTTTTATGATGAAGCTTTGGAAAATATTACAATAAAAATATAAGTGCTAAATGATAAGTTACCACATTGAGAACTGCTGTTTTATAGTTTCATTCTTTATTGCTCCAAACTGTTGTGGACATAGCAATCCTACCTATTAGTTAAAATTAGCACAATGTTCTTGGGCATGTATAATCCTGCTTAAAATTCAAATTGGTAATTTAAACAACTGACTCTTGGCAAAAACTCTCTTCCAGTCTATTCTAAAATGAAAAATATTTTTCTGTGATTTGTGGGCTGTTCCACCAAGAGAAGGATATGCTTCATAATAATAGCATTTTGAGATCTCTTACGTTTTCCCTTAGTTATTTTGTGTTAGCCTCTGTTTATAAGCTGAGCTAGTATTTTCTGGAAAGCTCTTTTGGTTTTAGAGTAGAACCTGATCTCAAAATCAAGAGGTGAGCCAGAAATCGGTAACTAAGTTAGCTAAACTGGAAGCTGATTCTTTGTGACCAGTCTTTTAAACTGGAATGTAAATCCAGACAGGCTGGGGATCCAGGGAGTAAGAGAGAATTAGAGTTTTTCCATGACTTATTTTAAGGTGCTGAATAAGCATACTTTCACCATGGAAACACCTTCAGGTAAGACCGGGAAGAGTTAGGGATCAGTGTTGACAATAACTTCAAAGCATAAAAGGGATATTTTCTCCATAACGTTCTCTTTTTTTTCCTCCTTTTTTTTAGAACTATTTACTTACTTTTATTTATTCACTCATTCATTCATTTATTTTCATTTGACCGGAGAAAGACAGACACATAGAAAGAAGGAAAGTGAGAAAGCAAGCCACCAGGTCCAGTACTCGAACCGTGGTCAGCCATGTGGGAGTGTCCAATGCCTTAACCACCATGCCACCTGCTTTCCCCACGTTCTCTTTTTTTTTTTTAAGAATTATTTTTATATTAATTTTATTTTCATTTTACCAGAGAGGGACAAAAAGTGTGTGTATGGGGGCCGGGGGGGGGGAGAGAGAGAAAGAAAGAAAGTCAGCCTCCAGGTCTGGGCCTTGAACCATGGTTGGCCATGTGGAAGTCCAGCATCCTTAACCACCATGCCACCTACTGTCCCCTCCATAACGTTTAAGTAACCATTATACCTCTTCCT